GAGAAAAATCATTTTTATAGAATTGACAGTATTGGATGTTTCACTGCTTTGTGGTGGATGACAGCTTAAAAAAGACTATGAAAATTACATCAACTATATTAGCCTACATGGTGGTATCACTGATTAAGAGATGTTATTTGACCAATTTGGAAGTAAACAATAGAAAACTGGGGCAGCTGGGTGGGGCAGCTGGTTGAGCATCTGCCTTCAGCTCAGGTCATGATGCCAGGGTCCTGGGATCGAGTCCTGCATCGGGCTCCTCATGGGGAGCCTGCTTCTCCCTCTGCCTATGTCTCTTCCTCTCTCTCTCTGTCCCGCATGAATAAATAAATATTTTTAAAAATAAGACAAAAATATTCAATGTAATTTAAAATACAGGGCATTTCTACCACCAGAAAAAGAAATCAGGGTATGAGGCCTTAATGTTCTCAAAGTAGCTCACTGGCTAAGGGGCTCAATTGATGTTAATGGCCAGCTTCTCTCAGTGTTTTCTTCATGGCTATAAAATGGTTGCTGCACTTCAGGCAGCAAGGAAGTGTTTAAAGGTAATAAGAAAAAACAAATGATGCCTGTTATATCTGTCCTATGTGAGGAAAACAAACTTTTCCTGAGACACTCCAACTTCTCTCACTCCTGCTGAATTCCTCTTATGTTGCATTGGCAAAAAGAAAGGCTGAGAAAGTATTTAACTTCTCCTGCTTCTATAGTAAAGACAAACAAAGGAGAATATGATTGGGAATAAATGTTAAGTTATACAGTCAATAGTGTTAGTCTCAGGTCCTGACTCCTTTCCAGGGAGAAAAGGCTTAGGGAGTCAAATTAGGGATTTGTTTTCAAACTTGTTGAGGTTAAGGAAACATTAAGATATCTAAGTAGAAGGGCAGAAGGGGTAGTCATTAGGACATAAATAATAGGTGATATTGTAGAAATGGATGAAATTAGAACAAACAAAGCTACAATAAAAGAAACTCCAAATGCTGATGAGAAAGTGAAGCAACAAAAATTCATTACTGGAAAGAATGAAAAATGGTACAGCTATTTTGGAAGACAGTTTGGCAGTTTCTTACAAAACTAACTATATTCCTTTATAATCCAGCAGCTGCAATCCTTGGTATTTATCCAAATGACTTGAAAAATGTGCGTCGAAAAAAATTCTGCAAACGAATGTTTATAGCAACTTTATTCATAACTGCTGAAATCTGGCAGCAACCAAGATATCCTCCAGTAGGTGAGCAGATAAATAAACTGTATATACCCAGAAAATGCAATATGAAATACTAAAACAAATGATCTATGAAGCCATCAAAAGTTATGGTGAAAGTTGAAATGAATACCTACTTCATGATTCCAACTATATGATATTCTGGAAAAGGCAAAACTATGGAGACAGTAAAAAGATTAATGGCTGGCAAGTATTAGGAGGAGAGAAAAATAAATAGAGTACAGAGGAGTTTTAGAGTGAAACTCTTCGGTATGATACTACAATGGTAGATAAATGTTGTGTACATTTGCTAGAATGCATAGAAGAAGGTACAGAACTAAGAATTAAGTCACTAAAAGTGACCCTTAATGCAAACTATGGACTATGAGTTATACAGACATAGATTTATGGACTGTAACAGATACAGCAATCTGGTGTTGAATGCTGGGGGTATGTATATGTGTGAAGGCAGGAGGTATGTGGGGATTCTGCACTCTCTGCTCAACTTTGCTGTGAAATTACAACTGCCCTAAAAGAAGAAAGTTGTTTGTTTTTAAAGAATAATAAGGGACTAATCACATAACTTGAAAATAGGAAGAAAAGGAGGCACAAGCTAAATAGTAATCAAAGAAAAAATGGTAACAATATAGCAATAGAGAACTATAGGAAAGTATTTCAAAAGGGTGGGCCCAACAAAATGGAATTGTGTTCTAGTTACATTGACTGTTATACTAAGATAAAGAATAAGTTTCACAGGTTGAATCCATCAGAGGTCACTTATAATCTAAGAAAGAAAGGCTTTCAATGGAAGGAATTACAGTAGACAAATCCAACTGTAGGAGGATATATGATAAAGAAGATAAGTAAATAAAATGAAAGAGGAAAAAGAGGTAGTATATGTGAAATTTTTTATTAAGCCTGATGTCTGCATATTTATGACTAATGTAAATTTATTTAAAAACATTGAATGTCCAAAACTGTGTTCTTCAAGAACCAATTTCTTAACATAAATTGGTAATATTTATTTTATTTAAATGAGAAAATAAGCTTTTTTTTTAAGTAACTCTCAAGGTATAGATTAGTTTCGGTTTAAATTTAGCCCTTCATCCTATATGTACCATTGTGTTTTACTTGCTAACAGGAGAAACTGCAAACATTATAAAAGTAGGGGAAAAATGCCATGCTAGCAAATTTAGCTAGTATAAATTCCATGCTACTTCAAAAATAATGCCTATATTATCACCAAAAATCTAATTTTATGCTCTTCCATAAAAAATAATTTAGAAAGAATTTCCAGGTTATTAGAATAAACAATGATTTATTATTTGAACAGCACTGTAATATTAAAAAAGTATTTCCTTGTATGCTAATTATATATTTGCCATAATCAATTGGAAATTTCTATATAATGTATGACCATTAACTTGGATTTTTCCCAAACATATCTCTACTACTATTTCCTTTATGAATTTCACCACTACACAAGTAAATAAAGCATATATTTTCCAGCTCTTATTCTAGTCTAATTTACCTTTTACTGATATCAATAGTACTATTTATAAATAAAATACTAGAAATATTATTGACTGACCAAAAGCTCCTAGAGACAGTGATTCTTTTTTAAATTTCTTCCTAAATCTTATTTAGATACTAAATACTGAATGAGTTAACAAAAAAAATGATACTTGTAAGTAGATGATAAAAGACAGGCATACTGGTGAGACCAAAAGTTGATTTGTCAAATAGCTTGGTAATAAACTTATTCATAACTTAAATGGCACCTTGAAGATACAGAGTGCAGTAACCAAAGCTCCAAATAAAGAACATCATCCCTGGAAGGTAAGATTATTTTTAAAAAATGATTCAGAATAAAGCAGATAAGTATATAATGAATTTAAGGTTTTCTCATGAGGAAATAGAGCATAAAATAACTAAAAAATTATTCAAAGCCAATGTTATACAAGACAGACATTTTTACAAGAGCTAACATGAATGCTAGAGTTTTAAAAAGATTAAATTGATAAGTTTAAAAAAAATTCTTCCTCCCATCCCTACTCTACAAAAAGCTTAAGTTGGTTAGTGAATGGTTGAAGTTATGAAAGATTAAAAGACAACAGAAAATTTGACACTTTTGCAGAAAAAGGTGAGAAACTAGAAAAGATTTTAACATAGTGTATTTGTCAGTAGTAAAAATGCAGCTTTGTTTATATATTATTTTATATAGTCTATAGAGATTTCTACTTTATAGATGATTTTGTTTGGTTTGGTTTTGAACTTCACATTTTTTTGGTCTAATCTAACCTTCTAATTTTAATAACCTGTTAGAAAAGTGCATTTCTTTCTCTCCATAAATAGCAGGTACCATTTAATTCAACTTAACACAAATACACAACAAAAAGAACCAAAATAAGACTGTGGTATTATTACGTACTTAACAAACTAGAATTTTAATTCTAGGTCTGTTTTATTGGAAATAGCCATAACATATATGGCACATGAAATCTGTTCCCTGATGTTAATAATAAATTGGCACATACAATGGAGGCTGCCTTTAAAACAAAGTTACTTTCGATTTGCAAGTATACACTTGAAAAAATTATTATACTAAATTTAAATCATATCATGTCAAATTCCTTGGGGTAATTAAAAAGTAATCAAGAATTTACATTTCTTTTCTAATTTATTGTTCTAGTCTATCTATAAATTTGAGAGAAAATCAGAAGAGAAAATACATTAAACAATAACAACAAAGTTATAAGCTCTTAACTACTCACTGAGAATTTAAAATGAAGCTAAACACATTTGTAGAAAAATCTGACTTCAACCAGACTTCACGCTTTTTGGATAGATGAAAAACCTTTTTCACTTCAAAATGTCACCATTTTTCTCAATTTTGGTAGATAATTCTGGCTTAGTGAGTTACACTGGTAATGCCATAATAGTCTCCTGTAATTTGCAGCAAAAATGAATTTAAGATGACAAACTATAACACGATTTTCTTGATGGCACATTTTTTCTTACTGTACCATCACAACAATGATGAATCTTTTCTGTTTCCTGTGGATATGGTTTTGTTTTTGTTTTTAACCAGCTAATGAGAATGTAAGCACCTTGAGGGCAGGAACCACTACTATGTCACAGGTGCTATGTTAGGAATGGAGACAAAGACAAAGGAGGATGAAAAGCCATTAAGTACCATAAGAAAAAATATATGATTAGTAGAATTGATGTCTTTCTTGACTATTGGACCTATATTACAATGAAACAGAACCTCTTGTCATGAAATATGCACTTCACTTGTTTCAAGTTCTAGTACACTATATTTTCTTTTTTTTTGCAATAAGTAACATTTTAAATACTATTTCAATTCCCAAACATATTCACATACCCTTTAGGGAGTGTCAGTTCTGTGGGTTAACAATATCACAAGATTACTGTAATAAATATTGATGTGAAGAAAAAGCTCACATTTTTCTTTTTTTTCTTTCAGTGCAGCCACTTTTTACTAACTACAAAAGGTAACGGTGTATCATAAAATCAGAAAGAGAATGAACACCTACCCAAAGTATTAATGTAGCACCACTCAAAATTCAGAAAATACGTTGTTTTCATGTACACATACACGAAATAAAATAATACCATAACAGAAGGGTGCTGTATCTGTGTTTAAAGAAGGGGTTGTTGGCAAACACCACAGCTCACTTCTGCTGAAATGTACACAACTGATATATGCAGCACAGAAAGCTGGCACCAAGGGCTTACAACCTTAATTTGCCTGTAAGAAGGAACAGAGATTTACCTTCAGAGCACGTTCTTGATTGTTTTCAGCAGTCAGATGTCTCATGTTGTTTGCTGAAGTCTGGTTCTGCTCTTTCAGATGATGAAGCTCCTGCTCTAGCCGTTTGCACTGCCACAGGGGAAGAATCCCATTAAGTAAAGGAGTTATAGCATTTTTTTTCAAACCAAGCCACATGAATTAATGTAAATAATATCAGTGCATTCTCTAAGAGACAAGGTATCTTTTGCAACAAGAATAGTACGTTAAAAAGTAATGATGAATATGAACAAAATAATATTGTTTATAGTGGCCTGGTAATTCCATGGCAATTTTGTCTTTTATTAATCTAAATATTATCATAAAATTAGAAAAATACTTGTTTTTTCACAAGGTTAAGATCAAACTACATTGAAAAATGTTTTCTTCACTGATCAGTTTTTATTATGTATCTTTTGGCTGAATAAAAAGCATGCTTCTAAAAATCAAATGGTAAACCACAATATGATATTCCGTGATGCATTTTTATTAAGTTTTTAAAAATAACAATTATTATAAATATACAGTAAGAGGTTTTACGGATATTAGAAACATCTAAAGAAACAATTCTGTAAGGAAAAAAGAATAACTATAGAGTGCTACAAGGTTTGGAAACAAGTGTTTTTTTACACAATAATTGTATAGGATATAAAGTGATGTGCTGTAAATCAGAACAATATGAAGCTATATGGGGGGTTAGCTAAAGGAATATAGAACTAAACCCATCTCAGGAAAAAGTTAAAAATTAACTTTTTTTTTTTTTCCTAATTCACCCATTTTTAAATTAGAATATTTAAGGATTGCCTGGCTGGCTCAGTTGGATAGAGCATGCAACTTCTGATCTTGGGGTCATGAATTTGAGTCCCATGTTGGATACAGAGATTATGTTAAAAAAAAAAAAACCCAAAACCCAAAAACTAAAAACATTAGCATATATAAGTAACAACCAATAAGGAAATACACATACTGATTCAAGACCTAGAAAAAAATTAATTCTAGATTATTTGAGAACTGGCTAGTTTTCCTAATGTGTTAAAAGTAATTATTACAATATAACCCACATACAGTCATAAATCAAATGGGCATCTGACATTGATTTCTTTTACCTATGACCTGTATAATATTCTTGACTCCATAACAGTACTTCTCCTGCCTGAATTATATACAAACCCATTTAAATGAAAAAGCCTAATAAAACTTAGATAATGATGTTTTACAAATATAACATTGAGTATACATGCCTCATGCATATACATTTATAAAATCAAAATACATTTATAAATTAAGTTAAATAATAATCACAAAGTCAAGACTTTAAAATATTAATTTAATTTAGCAGATAAAGTTTTGTTGAAATTAAGTTCTGTAAATACAACTGACTGATACAGTGGCAGAGCATTTCAGGTTGCCATGTCTATTCCAACGTGTGTTGTGACAACTTAACCCACCTATCTCATTGTAAAAAATTATTTGAGCAAAACTTTTGTGACATGACATCATTTGGCCTTTATCTGGAAGGGACATGTGACTTATGAATTATACTCTATAGCTATCCCTTTTAGCCTATAACAATTCAAGTATTTGGTCACAAATGCAACCAAAATACAGATGTGTTTTATGAAGACACAAGTCATAAAAATGAGTAAGACATAGCGGTGAGCATCACAATCTAGCAGAAATGTTCTTTATTAGAATTATCCTCTACATTTTCAAGTAATTTTAATACAGGATTATTACATATTAAGTACTTAAATGGAATGACTGAACATGACCTATGAGGTTACAAAGGGGGGCGTAGATAATTTTGGCTACGGGATAAAGAATGTTTCATGGAGCAGATGATATCTGAGTTGGGCTTATTTGGAGAATATGATTTTATAAGCTGAAAGAGTAGAAGGAGGAAGAATACAGGAGAAAACGTAGAAACATTAAGGGCTATCTAGAGAAAGCGAGAAATCATGGTCACAAGTTGTCTGACCCCCTATTTTTTGTGTTCCTAAGTAAACTAGAAATAACCCAAGGATAGAGACTTCTTTCCTATCTATGTGATCCAAAAAATGTGAAATAGTATAGCCAAAAAAGAAGTGTGCCTTAAGAACAATAAAGCTATTTTTGAACCTGTGGGCATTTATCCACATTGCATCCTTAGGCTCAGTTTTCATGGCTATGAAGTACAAGAGGCCCAGGGACTTGACTTCTCTTCTTTATAAATTAAAAATAGTGTTTAAAGTCAACTCAATCATTTGCAGTGTGAAATTGTTAGTAAATACAAATTCAAAACAAAGAGGAAAGTTATGATATTTATGAGATCACTGGAATTTGAAAACTAATCAGATGTTTCACAATATTCTTTAATTGATGATATTTTTGTTGTGATGATACTTTTGTTATGTTTAAGTAAAAGTTGGTATCTTTTAGATAGAAAGGCAAAAAAATTTAAAGATGAAAAGGATTATTATGTCCGGTAAATTTCCTTCACAATAATATGAGAAGGAATAAATGAATGGGGGAAATAGATAAAAATGCTGGACGTTGTAGCAGGGTACAAAAATCTTAGGGGCTCAGAGATTCTATGGGTTTCTAAGTTCACTGATAAGAAGAAGAGGATTAAATTTTTCTGTATAAACAGAACAATTTCTACAATGTGAGTGAACTAAACATATAAAACATAAAAACTGATGGTAAATTTTTAAAAACTTAATTTGGCCTATATTTAATACAAGGTCTATTTTCAGCAGTAATTTCCTCTTACCTGTTATTATTGTAAATTCTGAAGAATTATATCAAGCAGATAATACATTGTTATGGCTGCTTTAGATTATATATGAACTTTCTGAAAGATTAACATGCCCTAAGTTTTTAACAAAAAAGTTCTCTAATATTGTGTAAGTTTTTAACAGCTGCCATATCTCCCTCTGTGCAATCTGTTTTCAGTCACAGATCATTGTGATCACATACAATTAAATGTCTTCCCCCTTGGATACGATACAATTCTTTCCTTTGCAGACAAAAAATAATACCAGACTCTTCCAGTCAAAACAGAAACTACACTTTGGTGTCAATGTGAATTATGTACTTTGAACTGCAGATGTTTGGAAGCACTTAGGATTATATAAATAAGTTTTTATTCTTCTTTATTTAGAAGAATCTTTAAAAATCACTTTATTTTAGATTTAAAAACAACAACTAGAATGCTTTTCTCACACTGCAATACATGGGATAAAGAGTTTTCAAATTCAAAGAGTAACTTGTTTCCTCAAAGTCCTGGAAAAATATCAATAACTTGGTTTAACTGAATAGTAAAACAATACTTAGAGGTTTAAAAATACCAATGATTAAAAAAGAAAAACAATAATTATGTGAACAAGTGTCTAAAACTACATACACTGTAGCTGATATGTGTGTATATACACACACACAAACATATAGAAAACATAGTTATTCAGCAAATATTCATTGATCATCCACTAGACAATATACCAGCAACATGTCAGGCAATGATATGTTTCTACAGATTTATATATATATATTTATCTCAATTATATATATACATTTCAGAAATTCCATAAGAAAATAAATAACCAGGGATTTAATAATCAATATAATAATTTATATCTTTTTTTTAAAGTAAGCTCCACACCCAGTAGGGAGCAGGGCTTGAACTCAATACCCTGAGATTGAACTCAATACCCTGAGATCAAGACCTGAGCTGAAATCAAGAGTCGGATACTTAATCCACTGAAACACCCAGGTGCCCCCATACTCATTTTAAACTATTGAATTATTCAAAAGCAGATTAAAGAAACATTTTAAATCACAAAGTAAAAGGATTAGTAAACATGACAATTATTTTTAAAGGTATCAACACACATACAGGTATTTATTTAGTATGCAGTTATTAAAATACCATTTTTGTAATACTGTTTATTATAGGAGTTTTCATAAAAGCTGTGCATTTGAAAAATCATGGTTTGTATCTCTATTTCAGAATAAAGGTTAATACACAGGCTATTAATGATAGTCAATCAACTCTTAGTGAAAATAGTATATGTCAGGCCCTGTTTGAAGTACCTTACATGTGTTAAACAGTAAATCATCATGTGGACCCTATGAGTTAGATATTATTAATAATAAAATAGAGGTAGAAGCAGAAAGTAATAACTTCTTTAAAGTCATGCAACTAATAAGAAGGATTCAATTTTATGCAGTGTAATTCAATTTATCACAAAAATGTATACTGTTACACACACATGTACATTAGCAAAAGGAATGGAAACAGGACTACAGAAAAAGTTAATGATGATGATATTCTGAGGTACCTGGGTGGGTCAGTGGTTGAGCGTCCGCTTTCAGCTCAGGTCATGACCCTGGGATGGAGTCCAGCATCAGACTCCCTGCAGGGAGCCTGCTTCTCCCTCTGCCTATGTCTCTGCTTCTCTCCCTGTGTCTCTCATGAATAAATATATAAAATCTTAAAAAAAAATGATGACATTTTAAAATCTGAACTTTGAGTGATTAGAGATATGGATAATTTTTAAAGTAGTACATAGATCTGAAATAAGAAAATACATAGATCAGAATGGAATATGGATTAGCTAGTATATAGAATTATCATCTTTTAACTCAGTTCATTCATACCCAATGAGTGCATTGTTTGCAGGTTGCATCTCAGAGCTCATAAATATTTCAGAGAGCTATTTCTAGACCACATCTCTGATCACACTAAGTCCTACCTACCCTATCTTGGTATCATTTGTTGGCTCTCTCATTGCTTCCAGAATTAAAACTAAGTTTTGAAAATAACAGCAGCATTTCATGATCCAGACCCATTTCATATTTTTCATTCCTCCCCAATTGCATACTTTGCTCTGATTTGGACATGCTAAATTATCTATCTGCTTGGCACTGTCCCTCACATCCACTTATGATCTTGAGGCAAACCTAGCACCTGGTTCACTGAAGCTATCTAATACAGGTTTATTAAATAAGTATCATGAATTTAATTTAAAGAAATGTTATTTTTTCATATTAATTTCCTTTAAAAATTAAAGGCATATGACCAAACAATTTTAGGTATTCATATACATACAAGC